AGTTGTATGAGCCCCTAATAAAATGTTAAAAAAGAGAAAAAAATAAAAATTAAAATTAAAATTAAAAAAAAATAAAATAAATAAAAATTGCCTTCAATTTCCCACACTCATGTATAAAAAGCCAGCATCAATTTGTTTCACTCATTTTTAAATTTAGAGAAATGTCTGTAGTGGCACCGGGTACTTATCTACATTTGGCTACAATGGTATTGCCAGGTTATGCTGGTGTATACTGCATTATATATTTAATCGTTTCAGAAAATAGAATGAACTAATAACATTCGACTTATAATTTTTTACCCACATTTTACCTATAATCAATAATTACCAATATAATTTTTTTACTATATGTTTAGAGCCAAAATACTAACTTGGCAACATTTTACGATAGTTACAATAATTGCTTCTTACAGTAATTTCAGTAATCACACCAACAAGTACACTATATGTATTAACATACTGGATTGCAGCAGGGCACACCGACCTTATTTTTGCCATGATACATTATATAAGAAGTAAATGCAATTGAATTTTTTAATCAAGAAGGAGACACAAGATTGATTGAGAAAGCTTCCTGTAAGAAGTGAATTTTGACATTTTAAAAAATGTATTAAACCATGACTTAGCAAAACCTAAATGAGAATCTTTTCAGGCAACAGTAATGGCCAGACCAGAATCTCTATGTCAAAGTGAGACAAAGCCACAGATCCCAAGAAAATGAATAGGTTTGTTTTCCTAAACCAGGTGGCCAATTTGATTCAGAGATAAAAGAAGTCAAGTAACAGAAGGGCAATTGATGGTGGATTTTAGAACTTCAAATTAAAAAGTTTCAATATAGTAATCACAATAATTGTGACATCTCTAAATATTTGAAATAGAAATTGCTTTGAATGTATGTTTTGTTGTTAGTTACTGCCAAGTCAATTACAACTAATATATTTTCTTCAATAAACTATTATCCTCAGTAAAAGATAGTTTATATCAGCTTTTCACTGGGGCAGCCTGGATTGACAACTTGTGTGTTCCCTACAATTAGACAGAGGCAAGTCTGTGACAAACATAGCTAGTATGTGAGCTGCCTTTTGTGTTCCATAAAGACATTGTTTGGCATGGTCATTCCATGCTGTTGCTGTTGTCTTTAATATGATGGAGAAGCACAGTTTTGTTTGTTTTTCTAGGCACTGAGCAAGAAACTCTGAGTACTAATTTTACTAAGTTTACTAATTTTTTTTACTAGTTTTCACTTCTTCAACCAAATCCCTATGTAAATTACGTCAGAAACTCACTAAGCTGACATCGTAGATAAACTTATAAGTGAAAAGAATAAATACAACATTTGGCTACACGTCAAGCTAAAAACTCCCCTCAAAATGTGTGCTTGGGATCACACCTGTGGTCCAGAGTCATTCCTGGTCATTTTTCCCTTAGGCTGCTTATAAGAGCCCGCAACACAGGGACTCCAGGATAGATAAGCCCGTCTGGGCCAACAAGGAGAGTAGAGATAGCAGGAGAATGAGGGGAGGGTGGGGGGAGAAAGGATCAACATATAACCACCTCCCAGGGGGACAAACAATGGAGAGGTGAGGGGTGACAGAGGACGATGTAAAATATTAAATAATAATCTATAACTTATCAAGGGTCGTGAGGGAGGGCAGGCGGAGGAGGGAGGGGGGAAATGGGGAGCTGATATCGGGCTCAAGTGGGAAGAGAATGCTTTGAAAATGATGATGGCAGCATATGTGCAAATGTGCTTGACACACTGGGTGAATGTATGGATTGTGATAAGAGATGTAAGAACCCCGATAAAAGTATTTAAAAATAAAAAAAGACCCTTGTTTAAAAAGGTCCAACACTGATAACTCTTCTGTGGTGGCGCTTCACAGACGATGCAACAAGAGTGCCCCTGGGCGACGACAGCGGATATATCAACGCCAGCTTCATTAAGATCCCCGTGGGGAAGGAGGAGTTTGTTTACATCGCCTGCCAAGGACCTCTCCCGACCACCGTGGGCGATTTCTGGCAGATGATTTGGGAGCAAAAATCCACAGTGATCGCCATGATGACGCAGGAAGTGGAAGGCGAGAAAATCAAATGCCAGCGCTATTGGCCTAACGCCCTCGGCAAAACCACCATGGTCAGTGGCCGGCTCCGGCTGGCTCTGGTGCGAATGCAGCAGCTAAAGGGCTTTGTCATGAGGGCCATGACCCTCGAAGATATTCAGGTAATTCTGCGTACTAAGGCTCCTCTCCCTGCTGGAGTCCAGACCCGGACTCCTTCCATCACGTCACCTGTGTATTTGTGGATAAAAGCCGGTGGCTTCTGGCTTTCCATTTCAGTGGAACTAACATCCCTATGCTTTTGTATAAATCTAGTCTAAATGGTAATTTGTTATTTCCTCCAAAAAGCTTCCTCCAGCATATGCTATATTAAAATGAGAATATAACTTTTAATGGAATTGTCCACCATCCTTCATTGAAAGTAATAGCACAAAATGCTTCAGAAGCTACTGGGTAAAGCTGCTTAAAAATAGTTTGAAATAGAAGATATATCCTTATAAGGGAAGCTGAACATCACATTTGGGAATACATGGATAATTGTAGCATATACTGTTCTCATCCATGCAGGTCTTATTGTGGTCACCTAGCCACTGACTACATCCACCTTGCATTAGCTAAGTGGGCACAGCTTAGCTAAAGCTGTCAGTGTTCCCTCACCTCCACACATCACTACCACTTCTGTAATCCTTCAGTAAATCTGAGTATGAGTCTTGTGTTTCCTATAGCTTAATTAAAGGGGGAAGAAACAGTGATTCTTCTCTCATAGAAACAAGGCACATTAACTTAATTCTTTGGGAATCATGATTTCTGATATGTGATTTTACTGAAAATTAAAGACTGTACCTCCTTATTCATTTACAGCAGCCTGCTCATTATTAGACTAGCACGATTGTTTGTTCTTCCCCAAATGTTTTATTCATTTCATCAGCACATGGTCATAGTAGAGCTCAGGCCGTATTGGTGTGAGGGATTGAGCAACACAAACAAAAAACCCTGACCGCATAGAGCAGAGCTCACCTTTAAATGAGATGTGCTGGTGTTGATAAGTTGGTGGGGGAGTCTGGGAAGGCCCCAGCAGGTAGCATTTGGAGAAAACCCCTCAAGCTGGGAGTGAATGAACCAGGGAGGCTTATCTGGAGGAGAATGTTTCGGTCAGAAAGAAAAGAAAGTGCAAAGGCCCTGAGACAGAAGTGTGCCCAGTGCCTTTAAATGACTTTGTAGCTGGAGGGAAATGACAACAAGACAGAGAAGGAGGTTAAGTTAGGTCTGACAGATTACATGGGAGTCGTAGGGCATTGAGATGGCTCCGGCTTTTATCTAGAGTAGAATAAGATTTGAATCGAGGTCATCAAAAAAGATTGTTTCGCATGTCAAACTATGATTTGTTTTCAGCGTTTCCAGAATGGAGTTTTACCAATATTTAAAATGTGGATCCAGCAACCTTCTTGATAAAATGTCCTTCCTATATGTGTTGCCTTAATGCAGTGGTTCTCAACCTCCCTAATGCTGCGACACTTTAATGCAGTTCCTCATGTTGTGGTGACCCCCAACCATAAAATTATTTTCTTTGCTACTTCATAACTGTCATTTTGCTACTGTTATGAATCAGGCGACCCCTGTGAAAGGGTCATTCGACCCTCAAAGGGGTCACGACCCACGGGTTGAGAACCGCTGCTTTAATGGAATCTTATTGTCTGCTCCATTCTCAAAATCAACAAGTCAGACTTTGAAAGAACAAAACAAACACAACAGCTAAGTATATGTGAGGAATGCAGCGTGCCTTTACTGCCTCGTTCTGCTGTATCATTTCAGACAGGAGAAATGCGCCAGGTTTCTCACCTGAATTTCACTGCCTGGCCAGACCACGACACACCTTCTCAGCCAGATGACCTGCTCACCTTTATCTCCTGTATGAGGCACGTGCATGACGCAGGCCCAATCATCACGCACTGCAGCGCTGGCATTGGACGTTCAGGGACCTTGATATGCATAGATGTGGTTCTAGGATTAATCAGTCAAGATCTCGAAGTGAGTACAAGATACAGGCTGTACAAGCATTTGACCAGAAGGAATGATGCAATCAAATGTTAAATAATGATGTTGGGATCTTGGGTATTTTGTATTGACACGTTTGTATGTATACCTTAAATTTTTTTATATATATAAAGGGTGGAGTTGATTAAACATTGTTATTCGAAACTACAGTCCATAGTAAGGAGAATAGACTTCAGATATATCTTCCTTAAAAAAAAAAACAAAAAGCACCCGGTGCTCAGAAGTTCCAGAAATAGTGAAGCACTAAAGAACTATTTTTGAAATGAACAGCTTGTATGTTTTTTATTATTGACACCAGTAGTTGGGGAGATGTTAAATGGTCTCTCTCTCTAGCAACTACTCTAATTTTTTACTAAATAAAGCTAATAAGTATAATTTAACCATATTATTGTCTATAAAATGCCATTAAAAATCATTGCCTCTTAGAGAATCTTAGTTGAAAACAGTTGTATCTTGCACCTCACGCTCTCATATCGAGGTTAGTAATTTGAATAGTAAAAGACCAAATAATGAGTATATTTCTTCCTTATTTTGATCTATTAAACCTCAGCTAAAAATTAAAAGATCAGTCAGAATTTTTTGTGTGTGAAACGGAAGGTAGGAGAAATGTTCATTGTAGTATTATATTTAGCTTTCAGAGATAAGAGAAAGACAGCATTAGATAAGAGAAGAACAGCATTCGTTTTTCTTAGAAAATTCATAGATACTACAACTACATGATGATAAAGTCAGTTCACCAAGTCCTTTGGTCCAGGACAGCCTCACCAGGCTACCATGCAGAGGAAAGACCGTGGGGTGCAGCATCCCCCAAACAACCTGGGGGTTCCAGTGTGGTGACAGTTTCATGCAGATGCGTCCTGTTTCTTTGGCAGTTTGACATCTCCGATGTGGTGCGGTGCATGAGACTGCAGAGACACGGGATGGTTCAGACTGAGGTGAGTTTTGATCGGTGCCTTCTAAGGAGGGTCTTCCTGAACGTTTTACTGTTTCAAAAGTTTCTCTGTGGGGGATTATTCCCATAGGAGGGCATAGAACCAAACACATTTTGCAGTGAAGGGCATTATTTTCTAATTATGAAGCCTAATTCAGAAGGGAAAAAAATATATTTCTAAGCTATCTTTTGAAAAATCATTTTAAAATAATAAAGAAATGTAATAGCTGCACTGAATAGATGACAGTTAATAGGCAGGGTGTTGAGAGTGGCACGTGTCACCACGTACGTCAGTAGTGGATTCGTTCTTCATTTCCGCTCAAACAAACGTGTCCTGAGGGGTACCAGTGGTTTATACTTGATTACTAACCCCAAAGGTTCGTGGCTCAAACTCACACAAAAATTCCCGGAGAACAAGCGGATTCCCAGAATTGACTGGAAAGCAGGAAGGCAGGCTGAAGATGCTGAGCTTGGAGATGGCCCTCGGGGAGAGGGAGTCAGGAGGAGGGTGGCGGTTGTTAGGTGCCATCAAGCCAGTTCCGACCTTCGCAAACACATGCACAACGGAGCAAAGCCCCGCCGGCCCACTGCCCTCCTCACCAGAGGCTGCAGCCACTGTGTCAACCGTCTCATGGAGGGCCCTCCTTCTTTTGCTGTCCCTCCTTGACCCAGCATGGTGTCCTTCTCTGCTCCCCAGAGTTCTTGATACAGTGCAAAGAACTGTGTACAGTGCAATACACAGTACAGTATCCAATCAGCAAAACGCTGACCTCCCAGGGAGGTCCCACCTGTTTATCCTCTACTGTGATCTTTCTCTCACTTGAAATCAAACCATGGACTAGCTCAGAGTGACTTCACCAGCACAGCATGACTTGGAGTATCTCTCTGCTGGCCTTCCTGTTCACGCATCTTGGGAGGTGGAGGAATGTGGCATACATCTATAAATTCACAATTCGCTCTCTCGTGAAGAATATAAAGCTGCACTATCTCACAAATTAGAACTTGCCTATTTTCTCTTTGTTGGTTTTTT